TAATTGTGAAATGTAACAGTTAATGATGTGTTTATTAGGAAACAGTTTAAAAATTCAGTTTTTAAAACAAAGATCAGTTTTAAAAAAAAGTTCAGCTCAGGAGCTAGTTTTAAAACATCCCAATATTCAAAGTTGTGCTTAGTTTTAGATCATTAGCAAAATTATTGCGAATATATTGCAAAAATTCAATATCATTCACCCCACAGCAGATACTACAAGATGATTTAGCCATGTTTCCTTTGACAAACAGCACAGATCATTGCGTGCTTGCAGAAAATGAAATTATACTAAAATAGTCACACAAATCGCATTACTTAAATTACTTATGAGCCAGGCAACATTTCTCAATGAAACTGCACCGCTCACAAAAACATGAAGACATACCATCAAGCTATCAAAAAATCTATTTTTTTTAAAGACGATATAAAATTAAGCAACCTTTCTAAACCATTAGCAATCAAAAAACATGAAGATGTATTGAGAATTTGATGTTTCAGTGATTTGATGGAAGAAATAGGCTATTTCACCAAGAAAAAAAAATAGGCCTTCCATTTAAACTTAAATAAATTTTTACTGAAATAAAGTCATCACAACATTTGCAAAAAGTTGCAACAGAGGTTTTGTAAGCTAATTTAAATGGTCACTCCATCGTTCATACAATTTGATTATACTGTATTATTTTCAGATTTTAATAAAGTTACAGACTAACTGGATTTTATTGGTGTTATTTAATCGTCCAAGCCAATTTTGATTCTTGCATGTGAGTGTTAATTTTGAACACTGGTTTATCATCTTTCCCAACCACCCGTCTAGACTCTCAACCTATTTATTGGTCAATACATACCCATAATGCCCCACTACATTAAATCTGAAGCTCTCATCTCCTGGATCAGGGAAGCTCACTCAAATTCTTTTTTCCCCACATACAACCATCTCATATTCTCTCTCTCACACTCCGTTAGGTGAATTCTTGCTCACTTTCTATACTTTTTACCTCTGGCAAATGCAGAGATTCAGACCAACAGGCTGAGAGAATCTCTCCACAATAACAAGTAAACTTCACCCAAGTTCTCTGCATCTCCCGCCCCTCTCCCTTCATCTCTCCATCTGCATAGATCCTCATCCCTCTTAAGTGGAAACATTCTTCCAACATCACAAGACGTCCACGTCAGTCTTTGAAGCCGAGCGCCAACCAGTTTTCTAAAGGTAATGGAGGAGCATCCTTATCAGAGAGATCCAGCTCTCTTTTGATATAGCCAAGACCCTGTGGCTGGATGGAAGAACAAAGATTTCACCCAGGCATGGCACATAAGAGGATGCATATAGACCATACAGGGTTGTCTAGTCAAAGAGCTGGTGGAGTGTGGGTATAACTGGATGATTATACCGTGTGGTTTGTGGGCTAGATGTATCCTTGGGGTATCTCTATGTATATATACACATCTAGCCTGCAAGATCTCGAACAGAGACCCTCAGAGACCCCGGTTAACCTTGTAGCTCAAAACCAGATAACCGCACAAACAGACAGCACGAGTTGCATCTGTGAGATATTTGGACAGACACAAGGCTTGCAGCTCAACATTGACTGGGCACAGAAAGCTGATATCAATATTTGTTCAATTATTCATCTACAAAGAAATCATTTTTATACAGCCTCAAAGGTAAAAGCTTCCATCAGCAACATCTCAGACAATTTCACACCTCCGCGATATCACCATATGCAGGTACACACTTCAAAAGGACGCAGCTACAGAATGTGTGTGGGACGTGTTTGTGGTGGTCAGTGTTCGATTTACACCAGAGCTTTCGGCAATGTCCAATATTTGGAAGAAGGGCCCGTCATCCCTTGTGGTCATTCCAGGCGTTTACACTTAACAAGTCAGCAAAAAGTACTCATCATGGGCACATGGCAGTCCCAAAAGGGGACGCCTGTGAGCACCCTCCTGAATCATGAAATGAGGCCACATATACTACTGTATGTCATTTAGGACAGAACCCAGGACTTTGAAAGTAGCCTGTACTGATATTTATGGCTGCAACAACTAATCGATAAAATCGATACTATTCGATAATGAAAATAATCGACAACGAATGTCATTATTGATTAGTCGCGTCTGCCCACTGCACATGGAAAACTTCCGCCAGTCACGTCAAATTACAGCAGTGAATAACGCATTTCTATGGACAAAATACATCTAAAAATAGCAGATCCAAGCTGCCCGAAACATGAGAATGCTTTATTTTAAACTTCAAGCTAGTGCATTAGCTAGTGCATTAGCATAATGTTTAACACGGCTCGTCCTGTCAGGTGCTTTGACAGTTGCATGAGCTGTTTAATGTGTGAGATATGTTTCCTCAGCGCATAATCTGCATTTTACGGTTATATCTAGGGCTGCACGATTAATTGAAATTAAATCCCAATCGCGATTATCGCGATTTGGCAAAAGTTGCGATTGATCTTGTCAGGGAAGCCAGAGGGTGCTCTCATGCGGAAACTCCAAATACCCCTGCTGAAGAAATCCAGGAAATCCCTATAGCGGTTGCTGAATTGATTATCGCGATTTGGCAAAAGTTGCGATTGATCTTGTCAGGGAAGCCAGAGGGTGCTCTCATGCGGAAACTGGGTGAAAACTCCAAATACCCCTGCTGAAGAAATCCAGGAAATCCCTATAGCGGTTGCTGAATGACCAGAAGATTTAACTGCTTTCATTGATTCAACGTGACTAATAAACACATGACTATGACATTATATGGCTTATCTGAGTTCATCTTATTATAATTTTTATTATAAAGTATATATTAATGCAAATAATAAACACATGACTATGACATTATATGGCTTATCTGAGTTCATCTTATAATTTTTATTATAAAGTATATATTAATGCAAAGCTAATTGACATAGAATAAGGCACGCAATATATTTCATAGTATTCTAAGCAGTGATAAAGGCTGTGTAAGAAGCCACATCATCTCACATAAGGATTTACTTCAAACACTCAACTGACGTTATGAAGTGAGTTTGGAGTAAAAACATATTATTAAGTGTGGTATTTTCATGTGCTTTCAGATGGAGCAGCATTTACTACACAGAGCCTTAGTTCACTGACAAGCTACGCAAACAGCTTTCATAATCGCAGAATGATTTCTTTGATTTCATAATCACGCGATTAAAATGTCTGTGATTATGAACGCGCTTTTGCGTAACTACGGCTCCGTGTAGTAAATACTGCTCCATCTGAAAGCACATGATGGAGATTTACTACTGATCACAGAACCGGCTTTACTGACTAGATGTGCATGACAATCACATTCGATTAATCGTGCAGCCCTAGTTCTATCCTTTTCTGTAAATGTTACATATTCACGCTACATTTTCTATTTTGCATGAAGGTTCATCCTGACAGTCTGCGTTAAACTTCAGACTTCACTGAACGAGCACCGGAGTGCACATACGCGTCAAACAGAGAGAAAGTTAATATTCGGAGCAAATAATATTTATTTTGCTGATATATCTGTTATTGGACATTAAATTTAGGTTTAAAAGTCAACATGTATTTCAAGTATTTTATGATAGTAACTGTAAAGGGATGACAGAGTGTGATTGAATATAAAATGTAAGGCGTTTCTTACATTTACAGAATAAAGAAATGACAGTAACAGGTTACGGTTTTCAGAGTGAATGTGTGTGTTCCTGCAGAACATTACTCTTATCTGTTAACACCGAGTTTGTGTTTTTCTTTACTATCTTCATCATTATTATTTCATTATTATTATTATTTTTATTTTTACTTTTAATATAAGGAATTAAACTGTCCTTTGTCCATTTGTCTGTTTAAACTGTCCATTTAAACTGTGCTTTATAACTCTTTTACACAATGTATAGCATAGAGATATATTCACCATACAGTATGTTTTCATAGCATTCAACTGGCACATTTGTTTGAAGGACAGTATTGGGCAGGATGTGGAATAGTGCGTTTTGTCAATAAAAAAAGAAGATGCTTTTTAAATTCAATTAATCGAAAAAATAATCGGCCAATTAATCGATTATTCAAAATAATCGTTAGTTGCAGCACTACTGACATTCACAAAAAACATCAAGCTAACATTAAAAGAATTTGATATTCCAAGTGATGTCATTTTTTAAAATTGCTACAATTATGATACTATTAAGAGTTTTTAATCTTTGGAGTCTCCGCTAAACTAGTATTAAACTACAACTATGAAACTACACTCATAATTTCTCTCAGCCTGCACATAACAATAACACCACCATGAAAAGCCATATGTTATAAAAATAGAATAAATATAGAAGAATACCGAACATGGTCATATACAAGGCCCTGAGGGAGAAAAAACAAAACAATTAATTATGTATTTTTAAGGATGTCAAAGTTAACATGTGCACTTAAGCTATTAATAAAATATGTTTAACTTCATGATTTCATTATGTTCACCAAATTTGATTAAATTAATAAATAGGAAATTAGGTTTCTGAATGAAGGACTGATCAGAAATGTAGTCAGAAATCACAAGGTTAATTGCAATTGCTTTATTCTACTGATAGTAGTAGGTATAACGGTAAGATAAATAAATCTGCATATCGTTTTGTTAAAAAAATAACTATAATATTACAGTATACTGTCATAAATATAAATTAAGTTATATACTGAAAGTTTAAAAACCCCAGCTCAGTATCAACACAATTCATCATATTTTTGTTGTTGGAATACTTTGTGATGATGGCCTATACCCTATTTGAATACTGAATTTAATTACTTCAGCTATAATAAAATCTGCAAAATATATACATTTACATGCACAATTCCACAGACTGCTGACGACAGATGGCTAATGTCCACTGCAGTCTCCTTCAAATAACAGTCAGAAAAAAAAATTAATAATAAAAACAAATCTCTTAATGTTTTCTTCTCTGGAAACATTGCTGAGGGGAGATGTGCGATAGCCCAGCTGTTGAATGTAGGATGTTAACCTACCTCCAGTCTTCCCGTGTCAGGCTGGAAGCCACGTGCCGGGTCCTCTGTGGTCACACGGCACTGGATGGCATAGCCATTGATCCGTATCTTGTCCTGTTTCAAGCCCAGCTCTGGCAGGCTGCGACCTTCACACACTCTCAGCTGAGAGTGTACCAGATCCACACTGAATGAGAGAGAGAGAGAGAGAAACAGAGACAGTGGTTATATAGCATTTGGTAAACAACAAAAACAAACTCTACCAGGGGCCCCACAGCCACAAAGATCACATCCAACACAGACACTTTATCACTCCAGACGAGTACACGTTATCAGGCCAGACCCGTTCAGTGGTCTGGAATCACAACAAATTCACTCAAACTATTTTCAGCCGCTTGCCATTCCAGCAGGTGCAACACGTCGAGGCAACATTCACACCAGTGAGGCTAGAAAGCGTGAGATGCCTGCTTGCTCCAATAACTCCTATTAGACAGGCTTGACAACTAGCAATCCGCTTCATAACGCTGCACTCGTTTGACAAGGAGTGGGATGAGGGGGTTGTAGAAAGGAAACGAGAGAGTCACTCAGCGACATACAAACAGGAAATGCCTGCTAGATTCACGGCTAAAAGCTAGCGCCTGGTCCACTCCGGCCTCAATAGCTTCACAATTAAATCACTCCCTCAGCTCAATTGAATGAACCAGGCTTTTCCTAGGCTGATTGGCTACATTTGGCTGAATCTGCCATCTTATTGGATAAGTGCTTTCCCCAGTGTAAAGTTGGATTTATTAAGAGCCATATAAATCACACTGATATATTTACTCACCCTAGATTCACCGAACTCATTCCTCATGTCCCACAATTCCTCATCCTCATATATCAGGTCAATTTTATTCTTACAGACACAAAGAGGAGTGAACCGGATTGACTCTAATGGGGGAAAAGATGCATATACTAGCAAACAGAAACGCTACGAACCTGCAGCCTTTTGTTGGGAATCAATGTCGGCATGTAAGGGAAACGCTACAAGATATTTATTCCACATTGCTAATGCTTGTTTCACCATATATCAGAAGGAATAAAAGACATTCAAAAGGCTAAAACTTCACAATTCAACCTCTTTAAGATGAATGAATAATCAAATTACAAAGTGTTAGCGTGTGTGCGAGACAAAACGTGAAAGCACCAGTGGGTCAGAAAATATTTTTAACCAATAAAAGAAGAGCGAGATAGTATTTGCTTTCATGCTGTGCATCAATAATTGATGCTACAAAGTGTCTGCCTTTTTTATCTCCAGCATGGAGGCATTTAGAAAATGTTGGATTTCTCGAAGGCCGACATATATAACCACACAGCATGCTTTTGATAACACTGCGGCAATACATTTATAATCACATACACACATGGTGAAGGCAAAGGCAATATATTTGCACAGCTCTCAACATTATCTGGCTAGGCCTCATTAATTTTTTAACAATGGTACAAACAGGCTCTGAATATTGCACGCATATGTCTTTATGACACTGGGGTCTAATGATAACATCTCTCACATGAACTCTGATCATAATAGCTGCAAGCTGAAATAATTACCAAATGAAACATCAAAATCAGCTTAATGGATTATCCCTATTATTTTCGTCATGTAAATACTCCAGCAGATCTGGAATTGTTAAAATGACATTTATCAGATGATATTTGGGATCAGAGTGGCAAATAGTAAGATCGCAAGTTAAATCCAAACTAGGAGAAATAATTCTGCTTTGTTTTTTTTATGGACCCTGATCAAGATACCCATAAAAAAATGTCCCTGCAATTACTGAACTGACAGGGCAAGTCAGTGTGAATGAGCTAAAATGTTTACAACATTAATTTTAAGTGTTTATGTAGTTAATAAAACCTTACTTGTATCACACTTGACGTGTTCATTGTTTGCTCATAACCGGAGTCACTAATCATGCAGATTTACGCTACAAGCTTTGTAGAATTGTACAGTAAGAAAGTTATTTCCCTTAACCAGGAAATTAACGTTCTTAGAATTGACAAGACAGTTGACCCTGAGAGGTCAGCTAAATATCTACAGCGGATCTAAAATATTCATAATTAATTATAACTAGTTGTGGTTAATTATTCATATTTCACATGAGCTGATTCGTTACAATTGTTTTAGTGTCTTCTTGTTGTCATAGACTTTCTAATGTACAATTTACATTAGAGCAAATTCTAATGCACAATAGAACAATTTGTTCCCTAAATATTTGGTATAAAGTTTCCAAAGGCTTAACTGTGTTTCCCTACCATACAAATAAGTAACTTAAAAACAGCAATGCTGAATAGGGCTTAAATAATTATGACATAACTATTTTTTTTTTTGTAAGTTACTTACAAAAATTGCATTATATATTGGCATTAGGGATGCACCAATGTTTCGGCATTTGCATTAAGAAAATGTTTCTTGCGTTGAATTTAGGGCTGTCCAGGTTAACGCAATAATAATCCATTAACACAACACAATTAAAGCAGGTTTTATTTGACCCTATGAATCACCTGTAGCTCAAGCCAGGGTTGCCAGGTCCACGGTTTCCTTCACAAAACATTATTTGTAAAGCGCCTCCAATCAAATTATCACAACTAGCTTTGTTACTTCTGATAACAAAGTCCCAGCTTTCAAATCCTGTACATTTGATCACAAAATACAAACAATAAATGCCATTTTGACGCTTTTAAATGCGACTTGGCAGATCGCTGTAGTGCCTCAATTCAAGCGGCAGCGCGGAGCACGAGTCTCTTCCACTTTAATACAGGTTATAGTGCAAAATAAATATGAATGAACATCAGAACATGTTGAAAGATACAGTACAACTTACCAAATGTATCATGTCTCATATAATCGCTCGGTCAGCATTTCAACCGAGAACCAAGAAAGACTTCAAATAAAACAGCTACACTATAAAAAGTAATCACTAAATCTACTTAAGAAAAGTGAGTAAACATAACTGATTTTTACAAATTTGTTGAATTTACTTAATTACACTGTGTTATGTGAACTTTCAGGTGGATGCAATAGTTAAACTAAACAACTTTAGTAAACAGTACTTAAGAGCATCTAGTTTGTTGGATTAAATCCCACTATGTGCCCTAATAACTCTAGACCAGTAGGTGGCGGAAGTGCATCAATAGGTGGCGGAAGGTTGGTTTAAACAAAACATCACCAGAAGAAGACGAACTGAACTTCAGTCAGATCGTGTTTGAAATGTGGCTGCAAGATTAGGTAAGTTTTTGGTGATCTACTTATAAACTATATTGTCACAGTGTGTGCTATCGTTTTTGAGGAAAAGAAAAGGCAGATTTTATTAGTTTTTACTGACGAGAATTACTGTAACCATCAGTTAGTGTACTAGCTAGCCAGTGGC